AAAAAAAAAAAAGGGGGAGGGACCAGGTTTGCTGGTCTGATAGAGCCTGGTGGAACCACTGAGACTATGGCCCCTCGCTGCCCTTCAGATCTAGAATTGAACCCACACCTGTGGCTTCCAGCGAAGCAAAAGACAGGCATAGGAGTTGAACATTTACCTGAGGCAGATACATTCTTTGGAGAGAAAAATCATAGGAGAGAGAAGGGCTGTTTATGCACAGGGAGACAGCTCAGGGGGTAGGGGTCCACGGAGGGATGTACATAGGGAAGAGGTGACTGTCAGGAGGAAGTGGGAGTGGAGCTGTTGCATTGTGGTGAATTGTGGTCAATGTCATGAGACAGTCTATGTGAAATGCTGTATGGATAGTGAATTTCCACTGTAAATTTTCACCCAGATCACACACACAAAAAAAGTCCACGAGAGCCAAAATATGATCTTGAATATATCCCTCTTGAATTTAGAGACCATCTAAAGAATAGATTTGATGCATTGAACACCAATGACCAAAAACCAGAAGAATTGTGGGATGACATAAAGAACATTATCCAGGAAGAAAGCAAGAGGTCTTTAAAAAGACAAGAAAAGAAGACCAAAATGGATGTCAGAAGTGACTCTGAAACTTGCCCTAGAATGGAAAGTAGCAAAAACAAATGGAAGAAATGACAAGATAAAAGAGCCAAATAGAAGATTTCAAAGAGCAGCTCAAGCAGACAAAGCCAATTACTATAACAGAATGTGCAAAGACCTGGAGTTAGAAAACCAAAAGGGAAGAACATGGTCAGCATTTCTCAAACTGAAAGAACTGGGGAAAAATTTAAGCCTCGCATTGCAATATTGAAAGATTCTATGGGCAAAATACTGAATGATGCAGGAAGCATCAAAAGAAGGTGGAAGGGATACACAGAGTCACTGTACCAAAAGGAACTGGTCAATGTTCATCCATTTCAGGAGGTGGCATATGATCAAGAACCAATGGTATTGAAGGAAGAAGTTGAAGCTGCACTTAAATAACTGCTGAAGAACAAGGCTCCAGGAATTGACAGACTACCCATTGAGATGTTTCAACAAATAGATGCCCCACTGGAGGCACTCACTCGGTTATGCCAAGAGAACTGGAAAAGAACTACCTGGCCAACTGACTGGAAGAGATCCATATTTGTACCCATCCCGAAGAAAGGTGATCCCAAAGGACATGGAAATTATTGAATAATATCATTAATATTGCACACAAGTAAAATCTTACTGAAGATAATTAAAAAATGGTTGCAGCAGTATTTTGACAGAGAACTTCCAGAGGTGCAGGCTGGATTCAGAAGAGGATGTGGAGCAAGGGATATTATAGCTGATGTCAGATGAATCTAGACTCAAAGCAAAGAATACCAGAAAAATATTTACTTGTGTTTTATTGACTATGCAAAAGCATTTGATTGTGTGGATCCTAGAAAATTGTGGAAAACATTGAGAAGAATGGGAAGTCCAGAACACTTAATTGCACTCATAAGGAACCTGTACATAGACCAGGAGGCTATCGTTCAAACAGAACAAGAGGACACTGCATGGTTTAAAATCAAGAAAGGAGTGTGTCAAGGTTGTATCCATTCACCATACTTGTTCAATCTATATGCTGAGCAAATAATCCCAGAAACTGGAACTATATGAAGGAGAACATGGCATCAGGATTGGGGAAAGAATCATTAGCAACTTGTGATACGCTGATGACACAATTTTGCTTGCTGAAAGTGAAGATGACTTGAAGCACTTATTGATGAAGATTAAAGAATATATTCAGCAGTATGGATTACATCTCACTATAAAGAAAACAAAAATTCTCACAACTGGACCCATAAGCAGCATCATGATAAATGGAAAAAAGATCGATGTTGTCAAAGACTTCACATTGCTTAGTTCTACAATCAATGCCAATGGAGGCAGCATTCAGGACATCAGACACCATATAGCACTGGGCAAGTTGGCTGCAAAGGAGCTCTTTCAAGTGCTGAGGAGCAAAGATATCTCCTTGAGGATTAAGGTGCACCTGACATAAGCTACAATATTTTCAATCACCTTATATGCATGTGAGAGCTGGACAATGAATAAAGACTGAAGAAGAACTGATGCTTTTGAGATGTGGTGCTGGTCAAGAATGCTGAAAGTACCATCGACTGCTAAAAGAACTAACAAATCTGTCCTGGAGGAAGTTCAGCCAGAATGCTCCTTGGAAGCGAGAATGGCCAGACTTCATCTCACCTACTTTGGTCATGTTGTCAGAAAGGACCATTCCCTGGAGAAGGATGTCATGCTTGGTAAGGTGGAGGGTCGATGAAAGAGAGGAAGGCCCTCAACAAGATGGATTGACACAGTGGCTGTGGCAATGGGCTCAAGTATAGCAGGGATCACAGAGCTGACATGGGACAGGGTGGTATTTCATTCTGTTGTGAGTAGAGTCACTATGAGTCAGAGATGACTTGCTGGCACTCAACCACAACAACAACAACAACCACCTTAAATGCTTTAATGAGGATTGATTCATTTCAGGGGCCATATACACTTTTCTGGGAGCTCTGGTGGCATAATCCCTAAGGCATTTGACTCCTGACCAGAAGGCTGGCAGTTCAAACCCACCAGCCACTCCTCAGAAGGAAGGTTGGACAATCTCCTTCCATACTGATAGTGCCTCAAAAACTCAAGGAGGGGCTGCTGTGAGTCAGACTTGACTCAATGGCAGTGAGTCTGGTTTTGGGTATACATCCTCCTTGGCATCTTCATTAAATTTAAGCTTGTATGGTCTTTCTATAAACATTTTCTAAGGTATTTGTAAATCCTTCCATTTCCCTCAACATTCAACAATTCTCCTAATTTAGTTTAATTCACAAATAGACATATTTGCCATGTCTCCATCTCATTAACAAATATAATTAACAAGGTTTGTTATGGGAAGAATTCTATGATATACCACTAAAGTCTTCTCTCAGATTTAATAGCCCATTAATTGGCTCTTGGGGCCAATAGTCATTTAACTGGATATGACTTCACTTAATGATAGAATCATCTAGCATACATTTATCAAGCTTTTCTGAACCAGTACTAGGTGACAGTGATCACTGCTTTCCATTTAATTTACTAGAATTTTTTAAAATATATTTTGAAACATAAACTTTCTTCTTTATTGAAAACCAGAACATTTGGTAGAATAATTGATCTTTTAACTATTGCTTTATCTTAATATAATCTAGCATCAAGGAAAGTTCCTTTATGTAGTCTATGTGAAAAGAGGTATAGTTTTTAAACAAATTTAAATTTGTTTAAATTTTATACCCTGTGGTTGGAATTTCAATCTTAGGAACTTGAAATTTCACATGGTTCACACCACCCCCTCCCAATATACTGGTGATCTTTTAGCTTGGAGGAACATACTAAAATAAAAATACTTGTTACAGAAATAGGCTACTCTGAAAGACAGAAATGACAATATTTAATTATTGTGACACAAAATTAAAATAGTAACATGGCAATATAAAGTTGTATTCATGGTAATGATCAAGGATTATGGTCTATCATTACATACAGAAAAAGTGAAACATTAGAATCTAGCACATTCAAAAATAAGAAAAAGAGAATTACATAAACAGAAGGTAGAGATAACATAAATAATGTATTTAAAAATCCTTACCTCCTCACAGCAGCGCCTGCTTACAATAGCCCTATAGTCAATTCTATCCCAGAGTTGGTCCCTTAACTTTAAGAAATTAGGAAACAGTTTTCTCCAGTTTTTTCCTAAAGCCCATGGAAAAATTTCATACTTCGCTTCTTCTTCATCTTCTTCAACTGTGTTAGCTAGATACCTAACAAAGAAGACCAACAATCCAAAAAAGAAATGGGTGAAGGATAAGAACAGATAGTTCACACACACACACACGAAGTTTATAAATACATAAGACATGTTCAACCTTACTCATAATTTTAAAAATTCAGAATATTAAAAACATCAAAAAATAGAAATACAAAGAATTCTACCTTGTTCAGACCTGGGTATTTCTATATTCCTATAAATCTTAAGATTCATTCTGGGATGCTGTTAAGTAATCTGGAAACAGTCTGATCCTCTCAGGTTTTCTTTTTAAATTATTATTTGTTAGGTTAGCTCTGGGGCAGTGTTCAGTGGAGGGCTAATTATTCCCCATGACTGAGGCAAGACCTTCCTGTATACTCTAATCAATGCTCCATACATTATGAGGGTTTTTTCCCCCCCCTGGCTGGCTTGTGGGACAAGCCCTGTGTGAACATCAGGCACTGTTCCCTCTAATCCTTTCTTATGATATTTCTCCAGAATCAGGTAGTTTATTTATACACATAACAAAATCAATATTCTGCTGAATACTAGAGGAGGACCAGACATACCCAGAGGCAGAATACCATGACCAGTAATAACAACAACTATAATAATAATAAACTGACCCCAAACTAGCGTACATGGTGGAAGTAACAGACAAGTATATTATAACAATTGTTAACTATTCCAGATGTCCAAAAAGTTAAGTAGACACATTGAAGATGTAAAAAAGACCCGAACTGAACTTTCAGAGATGAAAACTACAATGTGTGAGATGAAAAATACACTGAATGGGATTAATGGCAGATTAAACAATGCAGAAGAAAAGTTTTGTGAACTTGAAGACATAGCATAGAAACTATGAAAATGAAACACACAGAAAAAGAAACAAAAATACTGAACAGAGCATCATGAAATGTGGGACAACTTCAAGCTGCCTAACATACATGAAACTGGAGTCCCTATGAAATTGGAGGAGGTGGTCAGAAAAAATATTTCAGACAATAATGGCTGAAAATTTTTTCGTATTTGATGAACACAATAAACCTATGGATCTAAGAAATCCAATGAACCCCAAAGCACAAGAAACATGAAAATTAAATCAAGGCACATCAAAATCAAATTGCTACCGAACCAGTAATAAAGAGAAAATCTTAAAAGCAGTCAGAGAAAAGGAGACATGTTAGATAATATAGAAACAAAGATAAAGATGAAACAGATTTCTCATCAGAAATAATGCAAAAGACAGTGGTGAACCATACTGAAAGTACTGAAAGAAAACAAGCAAGCAAAAAACCTTTCAGTTTGGAATTCTTTGCCCAGCAAAAACATCCTTCAAAAATGAAGGCAAAAAATAAGAGAAGGATATGGAATGTGTGACTAATTATCTCCATGAATAACTGATTTTTCTGCCAGTAGACCAGAAGGATGGTCACTGTCTTCCATCACTTAACATTTTGATCAAAGTTTCTATAGAAGAATCCTGACCAATGGAAGAAAATGTAGAATAGAATTCCAAGTTCTCATAAACTCTAGACTTTCTCCATGGAGGCTGGATGAACTCCTGAAACTACTGCCCGGAGATAATCTTTAAACAAAAAATCATAAAGTATCCCCTGAAGTCTTAAGAACAATCATTTAGCTCAACTAGTAAAAAATGTCTGCTTTCAGCATTATGCTCTCTTAAGAATTATTTATATGAGATCAAAGTGAAAACAGCAACTCAAAAGACTAGACAGGAACCTTAGAGGGGAGTGACTTTATGTTAATGGAGAAGGAACAACTCAGAAAAGAAGAGTGAGAGCAACTCAAAGAATGTAATCAATGTCACTGAATTATACATGTAGAAACTGTTGAACTGGTGGTATGTTTTGCTGGGTACATTCTCAACATTAACAACAAAATAAAATTTTTAAAATGCAGGCAAAATAAAGATGCATTCAGATATACAAAAACTGAAAGAATCAATCACCAGCAGACTGACAGTACAAGAAATGTTAAAGGAAGTCCTCAGGCAGAATTAAAATAATACCAAATGAAAATATGGATTTATCTACACAAACAAAGTACCAGAAATGATAATTACATGGGTAAAGGTGTAAGATTTTTTTTTAAATTAAATCTCTTAAAAAGATCATTGATTTGCTGGTGGAACTGTAAAATAGTACCACCACTAAGGAAAATGGTATGGTGCTTGCTCAAAAAACTAGAATTACCTTATAATCCAGCAATCTCACTCCTAGGTATATACTCTAGCTCAAGCTCACTGCCTTCGAGTCATTTCTGACTCACAGCAACCCCTCCTTGGGTTTCCAAGGTGGTATCTCTATGGAAGTAGATTGCCCAATCTTCCTTCTGAGGAGTGGCTTGTGGGTTTGAACCATCAGTCTTCTGGTTAGCAGTCAAATGCCTTAGGCACTATGCCACCAGAGCTCCCAGTATATACCCTAGAGACCTAAAAATACAAACATGACCATATGCACACATATGTTCATGCTGCTTTATTCACAATAATAATAGAAATAACCACAAATATCCATCAATGGACAGATGAGTAGATAAACAGACTGGTATGTACACACAATGGAATATTATACAACCATAAAGAACAATGAATCTGTGAAACAACATAGATAAACCCGGAGGGCATAATGCTAAGTGAAATAAGTCAAGCATATAAGGACAAATATTGTATGGTCCCTCTTTTATAAGAACAGATAAATACAAACCCACCAGCCACTCCTCGGAAGGAAGGCTGGGCAATCTACTTTTGTAGTGATACTGCCTTGGCAACCTAAGGAGGGGTCGCTATGAGTCGGGGCCAACTTGACGGCACACAACAATAACAACGTTCATGGGTAGCTACCAGGAAAGGGGGTGGGGTGGGGTGGGGAAATTATGCTTTATTCTAATTAGTTTTGGTGATGGGAAAAGTGGCACCAATTGTGGATGTAGTGAGCCCAGCACAACCAAAGTGATAATGAGCATTTGAGCACTTATGAATGGGTATAGACAAACTGATATATGAGTAGGTACAGATGTGACATAGGAGAGAACATATAGAAAGATCTATGGTGTTGTTAGGTGGCCTCGAGTCAGTTTTGACTCATAATGACACTATGTACAACAGAACAAAACGCTGCCCAGTCTTGTGCCATCCTCACAATCATTGTCATGCTTAAGCCTATTGTCCCAGCCACTATGTCAATCCATCTTGTTGAGGGTCTTCTCCTTTTTCACCGACCCTCTACTTTACAAGTATGATACACTTCTCCAGGGACTGGTCCTTTCTGACAACATGGCCAAAGTATGAGAGATGAAGTATGGCCATTCTTGCTTCTAAGGAGCATTCCGACTGTACTTCTTCCAAGATAGAATTGTTTGTTCTCCAAGCAGTCCATGGTACATTCAACACTCAACACTGTAATTCAAATGCATCAATTCTTCTGTAGTCTTCCTTATTCACTGTCCAGCTTATGAGGCTTTTGAAAACACCATGGCTTGGGTCAGGTGCATCCTTAGTCTTCAAATTGATATCTTTGCTCTTAAACACTCCAAAGAGGTCTGGAGCAGCAGATCTGCCCAATGTAATACATTGTTTGATTTTTTGACTGCTGCTTCCATGGGTGTTGACTATGGATTCAAGTAAAATGAAATCCCTGACAATTTCAATCTCTTCTCCATTTATCATGATGTTGCTTATTGGTCCAGTTATGAGGATTTATGTTTTCTTGAGGTTGAGGTATATTTCATATTGAAGACTATAGTCTTTGATTTTCATCAATAAGTGCTTCAAGTCCTCTCCACTTTCAGCAAGCAAGGTGTGTCAAATGCCTATCACAGACTGTTAATGAGTCTTCCTCCAATCCTGATGCCCCATTCTTCTTCGTATAGTCCAGCTTCTCAGATTATTTGCTCAGCATACTGGATAAGTATGGTGACAGGACACAACCCTGATGCACACCTATTCCTATCTGAAACCATACAGTATCCCTTTGTTCTGTTCAAATGACTGCCTCTTAGTCCAAGTACAGGTTCCTCATGAGCACAATTAAGTGTTCTGGAATTCCCATTCTTTGCAATGTTATCCATAATTCATTATGATCCACACAGCCAAATGCCTTTGCACAGGGAATAAAACACAGGCAAATCTCTTTCTGGAATTATTTGCTTTCAGCTAAGATCCACCTGACATTAGCAATGTTCCTCATTCCATATCCGCTTCAAAATCTGGTTTGAATATCTGGCAGTTCCCTGTCAATGTACTACTGCAACCGTTTTTGTATTATCTTCAAAATTTTACTTGTGTGTTATATTATGATATTGTTTAATAATTTCTGCATTCTGTTGGATCATTTTTCTTTGGAATGGGCACAAATATGGAACTCTTCTAGTCAGTTGGCCAGCTAGCTGTCTTCCAAATTTCCTGGTATAAATGAATAAGTGCCTCCAGTGCTGCATCTGTATGTTGAATCATCTCATTGGGTATTTGATCAGTTCCTGGAAGCTTGCTCTTCACCATTCCTTCAGTACAGCTTGGACTTCTTCCTTCAATACCACTGGTTCTTGTTCACATGCTACTTCCTGAAATAGCTGAATCTCAACCAATTCTTTTTGGTACATGACTGTGTATTCCTTCCATCTTCTTTTGATGCTCCCTGCATCATTCAGTATTTTGTCCATGGAATCCTTCGATATTGCAACTTGAGGCTTACATTTTTTTTCTTCAGTTCTTTCAGATTGAGAAATGTGTGTTCTACTTCTTTGATTTTCCAATGCCAGATCTTTGCACATTTCACTATGATACTTTGTCTTCTCAAGCTGTGCTTTGAAATCTGTTCAGCTGTTTTGGTTCATCATTTCTTACATTCGTTTTAGCTACTCTCCATTCAAGAGCAAATTTCAGAGTTCCATCTTGCATCCATTTTGGTCTTCTCTTTCTTTCTTGTCTTTTTAATGATCTTTTGCTTTCTTCAAGTGTGATGTTTTTGATGTCATCCTACAACTCATCTA